AGTTTCTGTGCTGAGAGCAAAGTGCCGCCTCTGTTTGAGCTCCACCGGCCGAGACGGAGCTTCTGCGGATGGGCCGGGAGGACCCTGCCCGCTGCGGCCCCGGGAGGTGAGCGAGGCCCGGGTCGCCTGGCCAGGGCCCCGGAGACACCACGCTCAGCCTGTGGCCCTCAAATGAGCAGGCACTCTCCGATGCCCGGGCGGAAAGTGCTGCAACATTTGAGTGCCACCGGGGGGCACATCCGGGGGACCCCCCTCCAACCCCTGATCTGGGCTGGCCAGGTGGACTGAGGCCAAGGAATGAACGGCTTCAGGGACGCCTCAGGGGAAGGGAAGCGGGAGGCTGCCGATGCCACAGGGGACCGCGTGCAGCCAACGCTCCTAACGTTTCCACTCCAGTCTGCAGCTTCCCAAGCTGATGCAACGTGTCTGATGCTTGGATGGTTCGTGTCCTGGCGTGGATCCTCCGGCCTCTTCCAGAAGCTTCTGTGGGAATCCTGCCTCCAGAGACGTTCCCAGACCCAGGCAGGGGCCCTCGAAACGGGAGCACTCGCCGTGCTGTGGACAGGAAAGTGCTCCCTTTTCGAGTCCCCCTGTTTGGGGGCAGCATCCGGGAGGCGGTGTGGAGTCGGGGACGGGAGTCATGAGGGCCACCTACGTGGGCCCTGGGTGTGGGGTTCAGTCCTCGACGGGTGTCCCAACCGTGGCCACGAGGTCCCTGGGCACAGCCCGGCAGGACTCAGTGATTGTGGGAAAAGTGCAATAAACTGTGAAATGTGGGCCTGGCACCCATGACTCAGACTCCTTTTTTCCCCTCTCACGTGGCTTAGAGGGGAGGCCTGTGCATCGTCGGAATCCAGGGTGGAGGGTGGGGGGACACAGCCCCTCCCTCCCCTAACCCTGCCCCACCCCCCATGTTCTCCACCTGAGCCCCGGGACAGGATGAAACACCTGGGATGGGTCCCCAGCCACCAACCCTGGGGGCACAGAGTAGGGAGGAAATGCAGTGCAGGCCTGGCTGGTTGGGGAGGGGGAGAGCTCCTGGGCCCACAGACACGAGGGTTTCTCTTCCTCCTTCCTCGTCCCCAGGACAGGGGCCTGGGCTGCGGGCTCCAGTTCTTGCAGGGCCACCCCAAGGGTCTCCCCTCTTGTCTAAGCAGCGGTGAGAGATCTGAGTGACTCACACCCCGGAAAGCAGGGCTTGGGAGTCCACATTCCACCCACCCCGCTCCCTTCCTGGTGGGATTCCCAGCCCTGACCATATCAGGGACAACACACAGATGTGACGTTCCCTTCCCCCCGCCCCCCTCATGGGCAGCAATCTTGGTCCTCTTTGCAATAACCATGAGGTAGGTCTCAAGGTGCCCAGGTCACAGCCCCCATAGATCCTGACACTGCCGCGTATGGGGCCTGTTTGTACCCAAACCTCACGGGGGACGGGCAGGTCAGGGCTGGCCAGGTGGACTGAGGCCAAGGAATGAACGGCTTCAGGGACGCCTCAGGGGAAGGGAAGCGGGAGGCTGCCGATGCCACAGGGGACCGCGTGCAGCCAACGCTCCTAACGTTTCCACTCCAGTCTGCAGCTTCCCAAGCTGATGCAACGTGTGTCAAGTTTAAACTTAAACAGATATGAGCATGTCCTGAGGGTTTTGTGCTTTTCAGTGAAAGTATCTGAGAGGAGCTCGTTCACATGATAAGACGTGAAGTTTTACACATGAAGGAATACTGTTTCAAAACAGTCGGAATATCCTTCCTTGCAAAAACCCAAGGGGAATTGGCATCTATCCCTGGTGTCACTAGACCCCCGGGACGGGACAGGGTTTCCCAACCATGGCATGAACCCACTGGCATTTATTAAAGTCACCAGAGGAGGTTTTGTTTCGTAGGTTTTTTTTAAAAAAGTGTTTTTATTGATTTCAGAGAGGGAGGGGAGAGAACCATCAATGAATCAATGATGGGAATCACTGGTCGGCCGCCTCCTACACGCCCCACACCGGGGGCCCACCACCTGGGCACCTGCTTGACCGGGGGGTGGGGCTCCGGGGGGCGGGAGGAGGAGGCTGATGCTCAACCACTGAACCACCCCAGCCAGGCCCCCGAAGGCTATTCCCATTGGTCTGACAGGGAAACAGCCATCAGTT